ATACATATCATATTTGTCCATAAATAGTTCTCAAAGTCACCATTCATAAATCTCCACGGGATATAACACTTTAGTGCAACTAAATGTTGCTTTTAAAATCTTAATCATCTTGACCTAAATTATTACAAACGACTGACTATTTGTAGTCGACTCTTCTTACGAATTTAAACAAAACAAGAATGGCAGTGTCTGCAGAATACGATAAATCCATAGTATTGGATTTTTTTGGTATCAAGAACCAATCTTAGACAATGATTGAAAAGTGAGAAACGCTGGATAGATGAATGGTCATATTATGGGGATCTTAAGCAGTGCTCATTCGCGATCACATCAAATATCGAGTCCAAGAACCTCGGTTACGTACACAAACGCTTAGCCTGTAGACCATTGAGCTGCAATCAAACAACGTATATATCTAACTTCAGTCAGTCCTCTGATAATATTAATAATATAAAATAATCTCCCCATACCTCCATAGTGATCATTTAATAGAATTTATTGCCCTTTTTTCAAACTTTACTATGGCTAACAAGTTTACTTAGAGAATTTCTACAAGTCCATAGAAATGGGATAGTGGTTAAACGTAGTCGACAGGAAAGTTTGGTCCTAGGTTTCGTGCTGTTTGGAACTCTTCAGCATGGTGTACCTGAGGGGACTGATACTCCCAATCCTTTGTAACCCAGCTTCAAAGTCAGAGAAGTTATCACTGAGCTGTCCGGGTTGCGACTGACCTCCTGTAAGACCGATATGTATTTACAATTGATTGATCCCTGGGTAGTAATAAACGTCATGTATGTCAGGTCCAAGTTCTAAGTGAAGGTTGAATACTATCGAATACTATTGCAATGTGGCCACTAGTCTAGTAACTCGACATTGCGTTTCCTGTCTACTACCTCCAACCACCATTTCATCTCAACATAGTACATGCAATGTCAAGTTACCTTGACTAGTGGCTACATTGCAATCTGGTCGATAGAATTCAGTCTCCAGTAAGAAGGACTTGACATTCATGACACTAATCACTACCCAGTGATCAATTATGAGAATGGATAAGTTAAGGCTGCTCATTGTTAGTTAGCTAAAGTATTTATATGAGCATATCTTTCTTGAATTATGAACTGTGTGTAAATGCTTGAATAAGATAGTTAATTACATCAAGGTTATAAAACATCATGTATTTTGAATTGTTTTTTTTTTCAAAATGTCATTAAAATTTATTTTTTAAGTTGATTAACTATTCGATTATTTATGAATCTTTACAATTCAAATAGCACAGTAACTTTAGGTATTCTCATTGATATCAGTTGATTATTTAATTGTTTTGAATGGTTCATGATTTCCTCTATTGATAGTCAAGATTTCAATTAAACTTTTGACATATCCTCATATAAAAAGCTGATCCACTTTAGTTGCAGTTATGGCAACAGATACTGATCATTTTGTTGTGAATATCAACAAGGAAAAATTAAAAGATGCCTTCATAGTGAATGAACAAGATAATGACTATTTGAACCCGGTAACTCAGTGAATAATATACATAAATTATAGTTTCACCAAGGAAAAAAATAAGTCAAATACGAGAATGGATTTTGAGTACTTATGTTTCGTACACTCATTGATGTGAACAGACAATCAAGGTAGAAAACCGAAGGAAGCAAGGGAAAGGAAGAGAAGAGAGTGAAGCAAAATGAAATGAAGAGCAGTGGAGAAGGCGGCTGAGTCAACTCTATTTAACCAAGCGTAACTCAATATTTATAGTCAGACCAAAAATACAGACACGTGATGTATAGGGTATTCGGTTGATACATATGCAATCATATAAACACAATCAGGGTTAATAAGCGAATAAGTGATAGGGTAAAAATTTGGCTTGAGAAGAGTTAACTGTTACGTCTGGCCGATTATGAACGTTATATTCGGATCCTAAGCTAGTTCCGTACCCCCGAGCTAGAACTATTCCGCGACTTGAAAGACCAGAGAAAAGGCACAAAATACGAGAGAAGCACTTTAATACAGGGTTCATTCATGTACAGAAAATACAGGGATTTTATAGTAATTAAGAGACCTTGAGTTTATATAGTAACAGTGTGTTAATCAACCAATCAGGATCTCGTTATTTTAGTAACATAACTTCACACAACTTCTAATTAATCGGTCTGTCTAGAAGCTAGAATCACTTATGTGGGCTTGATATCGTACCGCCTACCACAATACAACTTGGAATAATATACAAAAAAACTACTAATTCATCAAAAGTTTAATAATAATCGACAATTCAAACCGAGTTCAAATATAGACTGTCTTATACAAAAAAGGAGTAGAAGTAAATTTCATTAGAAAATATGAACATTGGGATAGTATTACTAATTAAACCTATTAATATACATACACGGGATTATTTTGGAATGGATAAGCTATCGTAAAATACTAAAAGAAATAAATGAACTTTCACAGTCAACGGAAGCAAAGAATGTAAGTAAACAAGATCAATGGTCCCTAAAATGGGAAATGTATCCGACATAATAATAACAATAGTAGTAGGGACTTGGGAATGACACCATTATGTTTTGACTTGAATGTCAAAGTGAGAAAGGTTATCAATATTTTTTCATGAATTATCATGAAAAACAGTTTAGAATTCGTTAGATGAATGGCGGCTAGCAGTGGAATACAGGACTCGCGTTTCGTTCTAAACATCAATGGGAAAATTTAAACAACCAATATGAAAATGAGTTACATTTTATGAGTTTCATTGAGATCATGAACCGATCAGTGTTAAACCACCACTGAGAACCCGAAAGCCCTGGATGATCGTTTCATCTGAGCACGGGGCTCCTCAAAAGTGTGCATCCACGATTTCGCACCCAGAATTCCAAACCAGGATCTCCAGTCTCGCGTGAACATTTAACCTCTAAACCACTGAGCCGACATCCAAATGTTTTAGTACCTAACTTCACTGTTAGCCACATTCTACCTATTCTATTTTAAAATTTTTATGAACATGTTCTTAGTTTTTTCATAATTCGACATATTTTTGAATAATTATCAGTTACAAATGAGTTATTTCTGTAACCATTCTTACAAAAAATGTATTATAACTTGGTAATAGAAATCATTTTTATTATTTTCATAGCTTAAGGCATTGCCAAATAAACTTTTCTGATTTCAAAAAACTAATACACATCATTTGTAATTTGAATGTGTAGTTGATAAAATAGTTATCAGGATAAAATAGTCATTCACCATTTATCTGCAACAGAAATCACATTCAATCAACTATTTGTGTAGTAAAATCGTTTTTCGTCAGTTCAGGAGCTTAAATTGAAAAAAAAAACTTATGGTACATATTCAGGTTAGAGATTAAATATTTGATACACCCCCAGAGCAAATGTTTTCAGAGGAGTGAGATAAGATGCCAGGACAGTGCCAAAAAACCACATTCTTTCTCAAGAACAGATGGACTACCACACGGTTACACGGCTGAAAGTTAGGTGAGATTTATAAATGTTAGTTGGTTATCAAAAATGAAGACCAAAGTAATGCCTCCTTTCGAAAAACTGTACTACTATAAAATTATTATAAGTAATATAATTATTAAACACGTAAGCATCCTGGTCTCTGCTTTTCTCTAAAACGAAACATGAATATTTGAGTCAAACAAAAGTTCTATAAAACCACTAGCTTGTTGAAAGTAATTTTATCATATTCTTGAAATGAAATGTACACATACTGTTCATGGGAATAAAATATAACGCTAAATCAAACACTTAAATGTATTTCTTTTTCTGTAGTCTTAATGAAGCAAATTGATTGAAAATCGTTCAGATACTTTAAATTAAAAACAATTTCCAATCATAAATTCAGATGAGACATTCGTAACTAGTTCAAAATGAGCGCTTCTGGGTTTTCGATAAGGTTTACAATTTACTCATGGTCTAATGAATAATACACCTTCTAAACTCATACTAATTCATTTACAAAAAAAAATAAAGTGGAGGACAATATCACTGCGAATAGAATCGATCGATAACCTTTGCTAACTAGATTTTGTATGTCCTGAAGCTTAAGGGCTTGTTCGGTCTGACGGTTAAATCTAAATAATTAAGTTACTTGTCAGGTTTGAGTAACAATAAACCTGTATTTCTTATTATCATTATTATGGTTTGGGCTACTTACATCGAAATAAGTAGTATATCATGAGTAAGGAATAGAATATTTGACATCAGAAGATTGAAACGACCAAGAAGAAAAAAATATAAATAAAAAGCAATAGGTGTGAAAATCCAGGAACAATTAAACCTGAAACAATTAAAGAACATTTTGCAAATAGAGTATCAAAGTATAGTTTTTGTATTTTACCAAGAAACGTTGTAAATTGTGCTAAATACTTAGTTGATTGTCCTCACCTGTGTTCTCATTCACTACATTATTATTATTACAAATTCCATTTCTGTTTTTATATTAAAGTAACCTTTTGACAGACAGAAGTCGATTGATAAACCAACGGAAATTTATGGCTAAATAAAACACCATGTCTAACTACTTCTTAAAATAACTTACAAGAGATTTGATTATAATAGACTCTTGACTAAAACGCTATTGATATATTTTAGTATTCCTTAATTACATTATGTCAATAAGCATTTTATGCTTTAAAGCAAATCATTGATTGTAGTTTCCTTTCTCGTTTCTAAGTATTCTTGTATGATTATGTGCTTTTTAAAGGAGAAAACGGAAGACAATAAAAGTGATTACTTCTATTGTTACCTTAAGCTCTTCAGATGAGTACAATCAGAAAACGACTATTAACAGAATAATTATTATAAGAAGTTAATTTGTAGGAGTATAAAAAGTAAGTTCGTTTTAAAGGACTAAGGTAGATTAACAATTCCCTATTTAGAAATCATTATTTTTAAGGGTTTAACTCACTTGATAAAAGTTTTACTTCATGTATGTAATATTTGTGACTAATCGTTTTCTTGTAACTTTTTGGTTATTGATCCTCAATTAGTCAGCCCGACTGTTCACTTCGGAGTTCAATCATGCAAGAATAATGCATTGTTTGCAAAATTTTTTAAAGATCAAGTAATCAGTCAAATTATAACGCCATACTTTAGTCTAAGAATATTTCGGGAGTTCCTTGAAACGTTTGAAGCATCTAAAGTGGAAGTATTATCTGAGAGAAATTTTAAAAAATAAACTTTTTCATTAAGAGAGTACGCTTCAATTGAATTGTTGGTCGAATTTCAATAATCATTATTTATCAAATTGTACATGATACTTGAACATCATACAGGATTCATAAAATGGAATGCACTGAAAATTCGTTCATGGAGGACAACTGACAGATTGAATTCGTCTTAGTTCATTATTCGACTGGTTGGTCTTATGTAATCAGTAAATACTCAACAAGTTTCAGAAATAAGATGAATATGTATCTAAAGGACTTTCTTAGTGGATTTGTAATATTATGAAAAATTCACAACTTAATGTATTTAGTAGTTTTACATTCTGTGCTAATACTTTGTGTAACTGTATTGAGTACGTTTTCGTGAGTGAAAATTAAGCTTTTGTAATTAAACAGCCGTGGAGTTCAACCAGGCCTGTTGTGAGATAGTAACATACTGAAGACATTGGTGAATGGTTGCTCAATTTGGTGGATTGTTTGAAGTTAGATATTAACACCGTTAAATGCCGGCTTGCTCAGTGGTCTAGAGGTTAAGCGCTCGCGCGCGAGACTGTTACGTCCTAGGTTCGAATCTGGCGAGGCGATACTGTTGATGCACAATGCTGAGGAGTCCCACAATAGAACGAAACGGCCGTCCAGTGCTTCTAGGTTTTCCATGGTGATTTAGCTTCAATTGACTCATGATTTCAACCATATGGAATTACTAAAGTCTCCACAAAACCCCCCATCTAATAAAGTGTAGTTAGTTAAGTATTTAGATCAAATGTTCCTTAACCTAGTAAATTATTTAACAGTAGTACAAAATTTTAACTGAAAGCTAATCGGCCTCTGAACAGCTAACAATCAACATATACGAGATAAAGTCGTAAATTTACTATTTAGTTAGTTAGAAACTTTATCACAGCAAGTCCCCGATCTCTTATAACTACCCTAGTGTTTATGTTTTGATCATCCAAGAATCAAAATATTTTATCTACTGACATTTATTTTTTGAACATCTTAAGACAATTCATCAATCTGTTTTCAGTGTACTAATTCAAGCCAAGAGTTGCAAATATACTTTTACCTATATACTTTATGGTAAAGGTTTCAATCTATTTTTCTACTGAATTTTTCAGAATGTTTGTTATAAGTAATAATAGTAATAAGTTTAAAATTTTTGATAAAAATTTGGTTAGTTAATCAATTTTTCCGATCATATTAGTCCACAGGTATTTGGAGTTGAACAACACCTTCACATGTAATAGCTTTATAATCGAAGTACACCAACTCAATCAAATCAGAAGTAATAAATGAAGGAGTTTAAAGGTATATATGGAAGGCTATCTATATGTTGAGAAGTGTTTGGTCTATTCTGGTTAATTATTGCAAGGGATGCATAGCACGGCGTGCCCATTAGTGATCTGGTGCGGATGCGTCACCGAGCGTCGTCATCTAGGTGTGTCCATTGAAACTAATGAGATCAGCGTCAAACATCGAAGACTTACAGAACAATTAATTTTGAAGACTTATTTGGTGCTACAGTTCTTATTTAAAGAGTACTACTTTCTTAAAATAGCATGATTAGTTTTTAGTAGAGTTACCGTATTAATTGTCAGATTATTTGACAAAATATTTTTTAGGAGAACTATTCTTTTTACAGCTAAAAATAAACTCTGTGTCACAATATATACTAATTTCTTAGTTCGTTAATCCTTATAATTATTAATGACGGTAATCATGTTGCAAGCCAGCCGATTTCTAAAAAGCAACCTGTTTTGTATGGCCTAGTGTGCATTGATGACTAAGAGAGTAAACGGTCAAGAATAGTCAGCGATACTCAACCTTAGTACTGTAGATCAATATTTAGTATCTTACTTTATTCATTTGATGCATTAGAAAGACTAACTCTAGCTCATATACTTAAATATTATAGTCAGACACGTTATTATTGCTTGGCTAGTTTTATATCTGAGTATTAGAGCGGGAATCAGGTTAGAAATAAATGATAAATAGTGTTGGTAAATTACAGCAAATTTGAGAACCAGAATGATGTTTTAATCGTAACATGTCTTAAACGGGGATAAATTTTAAGGTTATGAAATTTATTTAAAAACCCTCCCACTATTCACCAGTGTCCTTTCCCTGTCAATTAAAATAGTCATTTTAGCCGACCCAATAAAAGTAGTGTATTCGAATCGGCAATATCAGTTCTAGTCAGTGTTGTTGTTAACTATGTATTTTTCAAGTTGTGAACATGATTTGATTTTTAGAGATATAATCGTTTGTGTAGAACTCCTGAGAGCTTATGAGAATGTGATCTTCTGCAATTCGATAATACGAGACATTAATCGAAATGCAAGTGATTTTTCTATAAGATAATTTTGCAAAAGGAAGGGTCGCACTCAGGAACAAACAAATTTTCAAGAAACACGAAGGTTTTTTTTGGTGTGAATTCCATGGGTCTAGGCAGCCTGTTAATAATGACTGTGAATCCTAAATATTTGTTCGGCTAGTAGAAGGCTTTTATGAAGTATTCAGATGGTCATTTCTTTATAATCACGAGTTTCTGAGTATCACGCATGAGAAAGACCTTAGGTTTCGTCGTTTGGCTGTTGAGCAGAAGAGTACGATTCGTCTTTTAGAGATATGTGGAGCGGCAGAATTTTTTGGGATCAATTTGGTGTATGAAGATTACAGGAAGAAAGTACCCATCCAATATGTTTTCGACGTTTATGCACGTTTATTTGGACGATCAAGACTTGAAGGTCAATGTAACCTTGATTATTATCTCTAATAATTAAATGGTTTCGAGACTTTAGCTGCACATATTATTGAGCTTGGAGGTGCATCGTGAAGGGAACGGTTGTATGGAATGCTTCTTATTTTCAATAACAGATCAAAAAGATTTATCTCTTGAATTTTCCGATATCGTAGATATTGATGGTACACACAAGGGCAGCAGGAAGGAAATATCTCTACAAGAAATAGTGGCATTAGATACCTTCATGATGGAAATCCCAGTATCATTTGGATTTCTTACCAGAGAAACTTCTGAGCTGGTTAGCAGGTTCTTAGTCTGGTTCCATCGCTGCACCTGTTGCTCTAGGTTCGATTTCCGAATTTTAATCACAATTTCTATTTATTTAAGCTGACCATCCGTATAACAACCCCATAGAAACATCACCCATTTCCTTAGACCAAGAAATGAAAGAAATCAAGGCAGAAACTGGAGCCCATGTGCACCATTGGTTTAGAATCAGGGTTTTCCAACTCTCCTAGGTGGACTTTCTGTGTCCACCAACCCGGTTAAAGCGCAGGACATTCGCTTTTCGTCCTCTCAATTTCGCAAACAACAGTAATACCAGAAGAAGGCAGTGAGTAGGACTTCCCTGTCAGAGGCTATATACACGTGGCCATGTGAGAGAATTTCGAGAGGGAGAGCGGACTCTCCCTATTCTCGGCCGTACCAGGGCATTTGGGGGCCAGTGTTAATATAACTGTGGATAAAGCTTCCTTCAAAATATATGCATATATAATTTGCTTCACAAGAACAGGGAATGTACATTACGATATTCTTTCTATTTTTTTATGATTTATTTAAAATGTTTACCTAAGCTTTATTAATATAATGATGAAATAAGATCTATAGAGCTGATGAATATCTCTGTATTTGAACAAATCATTCATTAAGAAACACCATATTTCACTTACCGATTGCTTGACGCACACCAATGTCTTGTGGTTTAGTTCTTGATACTGATCAGATTTTTTGTGATGCAGTCACGGGAAAGTAACATTTTGGAAACTCTATTTAGCCTAAAGTTGTTTTGTATATGATTAAGGAGAATGGGTGAAAGTAGGTTTTATGCTACTTAGTCATACATCGGTAATGAATAGCTTCAAGCTTGGAACAACATTTTATCCGCTGGTGATTTGAGTGGATGATACAGCATTATACAACATTCTGCCTTATGTTATAGGTATTCCTTTGGATCATCGGACCATCTGACATACATTATTGCTTGTTATGTCTGGTGGTCGTTCTATACAAATTATACGCTTTCGATCAACCATTTTCTGTTTATTCAAGAGAAGACTGTGAACATGAAAATCATTTAAAATACTTTCTTTTATACCACTGTTAAACCTTTTTAATTAATATAAAATACATTTATACAGAGAGGAATTTAGACTTATCTGTATTTAAATCATATACAGATAATGCATAATGACAATAAAAATAATAAAATCACAGTCTCGTTCTCAAATAAGAGTAATAATTCTTAGTAATGTAGATCAATTTATTGTGTTCGAAAGACAATCATTGATTTCCCTTGGTATTGAAAGTAACTGAAGTATCCATCCAAATGCGACACATAACTGTAAAGTAAAATGAAAGATTAAATGACAATTGGAATGAACGATTCAGTACAACATTTAGAAACCGTTTATTAATGATCAAATTCAAGTTGATAATTAATTTCGGGGGATACCTTTTTTAACGAGACGGTGATGAATAGTTAATTTGTTCATGTTTATATAGTTTTGACTGTTGTAAACTGTTATATCCCGAAGAGAATTATGCATGGTAACTTTTGAGAACTATTAATAGACCAATACGGTACACATATTTTTATTGTATGATTGTTAACTAACTAAACTATTCATATTCGCATTCCTCTTATTGTAAGCTTTATTTTGACCTATGAACTATGATTAATTTTTTCTGGTTAGCGTTTTTTTAGCGAATTGGTCTCAATATAAACAAAGGGAAAAGCAAGACTCTCCGATACAATACAGCATGAACCAATCGAATTTCAATTGACGGAGAAGCTTTTGAGAATGTGAAAACCTTTACATATCTGGACAGCATCATTAATCAATACAGTGGATCTGATACAGATGTGAAGACGCGGATCGGAAAAGCAAGAACAGCATATTTACAACTGAAAAACATCTGGAACTCAAAACAATTGTCAACCAACACCAAGGTTAGAATTTTCAATACAAATGTCAAGACAGTTCTATTGTATAGGGCAGAACCTGAAGAACTACGAAAGCCATTATCCAGAAGATACAAGTGTTTATTAACAGCTGTCTACGCAAGATACTTCGGATCCGATGGCCAGACACTATTAGCAACAAGTTACTGTGGGAGACAACAAACCAGATTCCATCCCGTGGAGGAAGAAATCAGGAAGAAGCGTTGGAAGTGGATACGGCACACTTTGAGGAAATCACCCAATTGCGTCACAAGACAAGCCCTCACATAGAGTCCTCAAGGCCAAAGGAGAAGAGGAAGACCAAAGAACACATTACGCCGAGAAATAGAAACAGACATGAGAAGAATGAACAAAAATAGGATAGAACTAGAAAAGAAGGCCCAAGACAGAGTGGGTTGAAGAAAGCTGGTTGGCGACCTATGCTCCATTGGGAGTAACAGGCGTAAGTAAGTAAAAGTATGAACTATTATTATAAGGTTTACTATTCTTGAGTTATACCCAGTCTATTAATTGCTGTCTTCCACATTCACAGTCACATTTGGCTAAATCTTGTACACATATTTTTCCCTATCTTATGGAACGATGTGGTCTACCTCGTTGGTATATAAACCCAGAATTTTTGAAATAAATGATTCATATCGGAGAGGGTGTTATCAGTGTTCTGGACTAAACTGGCTGGGTTAGGCAGAAAGTAGGACCGACAAGTGCTCTAGACTGCTCGTACGGGTTTTATGCGTCATTAGTCCGATTGATAATTCATTGCTCTCTAATTGGCGGTATTATCACGTTATACATTCACAGGGCACTCAGGCCACATAATATAAAATAAACAAAGTCCAATTATATAAATAGGTCTTTAAATTATGGTCAGATATTGAATGAAGTAATAATGAACAGAGTTCAAACTAGTCTTAAGTGACTTCTTTTTTCTCACCTACAGTCAAAGGATAATATTGAGTTATTTAATTTTTAGCTTCGGTAATCCTTCGCATTCCTACTAACTATAAATTTGGTGACTTCATCACAATGGTAACAGTTCATAATATGTGAAAGCCTCCTTGAAGACAGTGAGGAATTTCAGTCCAATATAAAGCAGATAAGTGACTGACAGTAAAGTATAATGAGTATGACAATGATTTTTATTTGTTATGAAGTCTCTGTCTTCAAAGTCAGATGTTTCTCACTTTAGAATAAAGATAAATTCTGTGGTAAGCTTCAACAAGTTTCTATACTTCATGAGAAATATTATTCTTGATTCATTTTTGCTTGGATAATCATTAGAAGTTAGATTTTGATAGACAACTGTTTTATCCTTGTTCAGAACTTCTTATCAGTGCTCAACTAATACCCAAGAGCTTTAATTATAACTGTAGACACAGTTCCTATAGACTACTAAGTATCAATCAATCAGGCCATATTTTAGCCTCAGTCAAATAGGGCTACTAAGCAATCCTTGTCCTATGTGCTAACAATAGATTTCCCTTTTATCCTTAAATTAGATGATTTCATAGCTCATGATTCTTATTAAGAACTTGAGATGATCATTTCCAAAGTCGTAAGGAGTAATGATGAGACTACTAGGATTGGGAGTGTTTCATTACTCAATGATGTCAGAAATTGACTAAGGTTGGAATACCTTAACATTGGGTCTCTCCATGTTTAGCACGAGGCCCAAATGTGCCAAGTTTGACCTTGTTTAGTAACTTATAAATGATGGTTGTTAAATGTTAGTAACTTTCCACTGATCCTTCAGGTGATGCCATTTTTCTCGGGAAAACAATGTTTAATATTCGAACTTTACTATTTATGCCTAAAAATTGTTTGACTTAAAATCCAAGTTATCAGAAAAAACTTGTAATTAGACTCTGTAATAGAGATTTAGTATGGATGAATTATGATTCACTTTGAACGAACGCTTGAGTCGTTAAACTATTTGAAGTTGATAAATAGAAGACTTATTGATACAAGGAAAACAAAAGTTGTTTCTCATTGTATTCTCTAAAATTAAATTGATGAGCTACTGGTTTATAGGTGGTCTCTAGTATTAGTGTTATCTTAACTGGGATTGAGTGATAGCATTTATTGATCAACCGTTTTTTGGGACTTTTCTAGAAATGAATCATTAAATCTCGCCTATAAGATATGAATCCAGGACCTACCAGCCTCGCGCCAGAGCACTTAACCGATAGACCACTGACTCCAACCAATCCACAAAGTTGAGCAACCGTTCACCAATTGTCTTCAGTAAGTTCCTATCTCACAACAGACGTGGTTTAAACTCCACTGGTAACTGCTTCTCACTAGAACTCCAGGATTTACTTCTCGAAGTCAGTCACTAGTGAGCATATGATTATTATCATCAGAAGGGGTTTTTAGTGGAGATTTCAGTATTTTCATAGTTGAAAGCGTGAGTCAATTGAAGCTAGACCACCATGGAAAACCTGGAAGCACTGGACACCCGTTTTGTTCTATTATGGGACTCCTCAGCACTGCCCACTGAAAATATTAAATCTCCACAAAAAAACCCTTCTGATAATTATAAGATATATTGTAAGTTATAGTGACATAATTATATTGAAAATTGATAAGAACTATGCATTTACTAAAATACATGTTCATTAAATACAAATTACTTCATTTATCAATAGATTCTTCTATTAAGTTTCCGAAACCATCGGTTTGATTACGGTCACATGTACATCAATTTACATACTTATCTACAGTGTAATGTCAGATAATATGACGTTTCACGAAAATTCGGTATGAAGTAAAAAACTTGCTTGATAGAATATCATTCTTCTGTCATACGTACTGATTTACGTAAATGTATCTTCATTAATTGATACACCGCAATTTTTCCATTAACTCATCACTTAGTTTAAAACATAGAAAATTATTTATTAGACGTTTCATTAACTATAGTTGTTGAATCAACCTTTTCGATGTATAGTTGGTCTTATACTACACAAGTGTAATAACAAAGCGAATGCTTTTAAAAACAGCTCCAATAGATAGAATTCACTAATCTTGATTAAAAAGTATTATAAGAGTAAATTGATACACAAATATAAGCCGCTGAACGATGTTAGGACTCAGAAATATAGTACAAGGATCAGTGAATGATTTCTTGATAAGAATCCAGATGATACTCAAGTTAAAAAGTTAGCAGGTCATTTCATTAAAGCAGACCATATAAGATAAAATAATTGTTTAGATATGAGATAATTCTGATGAAGCTGCAGAAGTGTCCTACGAATAGATGCTAATAAATCTGACTACTTCATTTATTTCATTTCGAAGATAGATTTTTCAAATTGTTCAATTCAAGAATGAACAGAAAAAAAGTCATCCATTACTTTATTTGAGTAATATATATAAACCAAAATTTCATGTTTACCAGTGACTGATTGTTGTTTTGTTGGTGTGTACCAAACCGGATACATTTTTCAATAGGATTACTGATAAATTATGTAAAAGAAGACTATTTTCCGTACTAGATCTGACGTTGAATGTTCATTTCTATCATATCACTAACGGTAAACCTTTTAATAAATATATTTTTATTGTATCCTAATGAATAGAAAATTTGTTTCCTTTATACTATTTGAACTTGTGTTAATTTAATTCGGTTATTTATTTACTCTCAAAAGGTGACTCATATTAAGTCACGATACGCCAGAAATACAATTTTTCTACTCATTAAGATGTAAAAAAACATATATTTCCATAGTAAGCAGAGATGGATAGTGGCTAGCAGTGGAATCCAGGACGCGCGTTTCGTCCTATTTGGGACTCGTCAGCTGGATGTACCTGCATCTCAGAGTTGATGTTTACTCTGCGACTCGAACCCAGTGGCTATCAGGACTCAGTGGCCGAGTGGATAACGCGATGGCGTTTGAAGCGAGGGTACTGGGTTCGAATCCCAGAGTAAACATCAACTCTGAGATGCAGGTACATCCAGCTGACGAGTCCCAAATAGAACGAAACGCACGTCCTGGATTCCACTGCTAGCCACTATCCATCTCTGCTAACCATGCTTGTGAATTAAGGTATATCGAGGCAATACGCACAGTATGCATGTAGTGAACAGAACACTGGTTGGGGACAATCGAATGTATTTAAGCAAACATTACAGACTATCTCAATAAATTCTGATTACCAAACAATGAACAGTCAATTTGCAAATTAACAACCAATTGTTTCAATCTTCACTGTTTCTTCTCTAATTCCATTGCTCATGCATTTTCCAGACGATTGCGCTTCATTCCAGTTCTTTCGTCATCGGTCTTCTGCCAAAATACATTCTATGTCTGACCCACACCATATACTACTTATATGGATATAAGTAGACCACACCACACTCGTCCCCCCTTTAACGCATTCGTTCATGCGGTGGTTCTGCTCGCCACGCCACTATCTTCTTTCACTGCAGTCTGTGCCAAACTCTCCGTCAGAATGTCGAGTCTGCGGCGCGCTGACCTCCATAGCTCCGTCGACCTGCCGGGGCACCAACATCCGCATCCACCCGGCACCTGGGACGTTCAACACCCGTACTCCACCGGCCTGCTGAGCCATCTACATCCGATGTCCGCCCAGCAGCCGCACGTCCCACTGCTCCTCTCCATCGACAGCACCCGCTACAGCCAACGCCGCCCCGCCAGAACACTCCACTCGACGCCAACTCTCCGCACCGGACTGCCCCAACTAACACTTCAACTCCAGACCCGCAGCGGCGTCCGCAGAACAGCACCCTTCCTCCTCCCGGTTGGCAGCGACACCAAATGTAGTGAACAGAACACTGGTTGGGGACAATCGAATGTATTTAAGCAAACATTACAGACTATCTCAATAAATTCTGATTACCAAACAATGAACAGTCAATTTGCAAATTAACAACCAATTGTTTCAATCTTCACTGTTTCTTCTCTAATTCCATTGCTCATGCATTTTCCAGACGATTGCGCTTCATTCCAGTTCTTTCGTCATCGGTCTTCTGCCAAAATACATTCTATGTCTGACCCACACCATATACTACTTATATGGATATAAGTAGACCACACCACATGCACATGTGCCAATTAGAGACTGACCAGTTGCAGTCCTAACAAATCGATGGGAAGATTCAAACAAACAATACTAAGTTGAATTTATATATTTCCATAGTTGAAAGCGTGAGTCAATTAAAGCTAAACCACCGGGAAAAACCTGGAAACACTGAACGGCTGTTTTGTTCTATTGTGAGACTCCTCAGCCGTCCAGTAGTTCCAGGTTTTCCCTGATGGTCTGGTTTCAATTCACTCACACTTTCAACTATGAAAATACTAAATCTTCACAAAAGAACCCTTCTGATAAAAATATTTTTTTCATTAACTTTCTATTCAATGCTCAGTTTATTTGAAATTATCAACTCCAAACTTTGCATTGACATCAGTAAACCTTATACCTTCAATCTACGTATTATTCTCTTTGAGTTTCAGTTATATGTGTACAGTATAAAGCTTTACAAATTCTTGATGTTTTACATTGAATTGTTTATAATTGTATACAATTACTTTGATTTATTCGTTAATCAATCAGTTTGATTAAAAATTATACACATTGATTCAAATGTTATATTCAATTACATTTTCTTCACAATTCCTAAATGACTTGGAAACAAGTACTGTAGTGTGGTCCACTTATATCAATATAAGTAGTATATGGTGATGGTTAAACATAGAATGTATTTTGGCAGAAGACCGATAAGGAAAGAACTGAAATGAAACGCAACTGGTAGGAAAATGTATGAACAATGGAATTAGAGAAGATGAACTGATATTTACAGAAGGAACAGTGAAGATTGCGACAATTGGTTGTTATTTTGCAAATTAACTGTTTGCTGTATGGTTATCAGAATTTAGTGAGATAATCCGTAATTTGTGCTTAAATACATTCCATTGTCCCCCACTAGTGTTCTTGTTCACTACAGTACCATTTAAAGATTTATAGGTTTAACATGTAACTACCTATTAAGGATATTATACTATATAAAGTTTTACTTTTGATTTGTAAACAAGATACAACTTGAATAGCATGATTCAAATAATTTCCATTAGCCATACCTAACCTATGTTATTTAGTCAATGTTTGAAAATTCAATGTAGTAAAAAGTAAACATATGTTTTTGATGAAGTTTTGTTCTCTGAGCTGGATGGTTTGATCAGACAACAAAACTCCATCAAAATCATCCACCTGAGCTATAGACCTTCTTCACCATCTCAGTAAACAGATGTTTAGTGTATTCAAGACAAGGGGAATATGAAATAAATACAAGTTACACAAAAAATTCTCACTTGCAAATTACTTCAATGATAAAGTAATAGTAGTGACTAATTTGTTCAAGGAAAAAAATTTAGTTTCTCTTTCATTTCATCAATCTTCATAGGGGTTTTTATGAATTCTTAAAGTTTATTTTAAAGTCAATCATAAATTTTGTATGTAAATATGTGTATATCAACAACCATTTGGCATTAAAATGATAAAAAATAGTAGTTAAGCAGTTAGATGTCAGTGAGTTTGCTGCTTTGAAGTTTTATCTTAAATTCATTGATAGAAAACTGAATGTCTGATTGATTTCGTTTCATTTTATCCTTAAAAAAATAACAGTCGACAACAGGCAGTTTTTATTTACTGATTTATCAACAAATGTTTTATATAGTTGAGATCATGAGTCAATTGAAGCTAAACCACCACTGAAAACCTGGAAATACTGGACGGCCGTTTCGTCCTACTGTGGGATTCCTCAGCAGTGTGCATCTACAATCCTGCCTAACGATATTTGAACATAGGACCTATCAGTCTCGCATGCGAGCGCTTTACAAATAGACAACTGAGCAGGCCGGCATCCAACGGTGTTAATGTCTAACTTCAACCAATCTACGAAATTGAGCAACCATTAACCATTGTCTTCAGTGAGTTACTATCTCACAACAGACGTGGTTGAACTCTACCGGTCACTGATTCTCACTAGAACTTCAGGAAATACTTTATAGAGCCAGCCACTAGTGAGCATATTATCATTATCAGAAGGGGGTTTTCGTTAATAGGTGATCTGAGTTTTTCTTGAACAGCCTGAAATGCTCTAGAAAATGTATTGATAGTTTTATGTAATTCTAAATTGGTTGAAAGGACTTGACATTGATCGATATGTAAATTATTTGTTTTTTTTAGTGTAAATGATTGACAAACGTGAAATCATAATAATTTTTATAGTTAAGATCATTAGTCAATTGAAGCTAGACCACCGTGGAAAACCTGGAAGTCTTTTCTCAAAAGCTAACGAAAGAATAATGGAGAACAGTAAAGAATAGTATTTCTTGTGCAGAAATTCACAAATTGTAAGAGTAAATGGTGAGTAATACCAAAAGCATACAGCCTCTTTATATAGTAAGTCAGACAGAAAACGTTTTTCGATAACAATAAAAAATGAGAAGACCAAGAGAGATCAGGGGGAAAGGTAACACCAAGATAATTAACTTCCGACACTTGTTTATCAAGGAGTCTCCAAATGCACAAGCAAAATAGCGTATAGGTGCTATCCATGTCTCAGGCTAAAGTTAACAGCGGATTAAGTAAGAGACCGCTACCAAAAGACCACCATTCAATACGAGACAAAAACTCATTTATTTCTATCGTATGTAAAGAAGGATAAATTGGTATACATACAGTGAAATCGTTCCCATAGTTCACAAGTGTTTTCTGTGGAAGATGACAGATCATGCAGAAAAAAAAGGAGAAAAGGAGAGGTGAAAGAACAACTCCTTGTGACACACCTTCATGAGACAGTAGAGACGCTGAATACCTTACTCCAAAGTGTAATGTTCTCTTCCAGAAAGGAAGGAACATAGCCAATTTGTTATCCAGCTGTCAGTGTTGACGCTGATCAACTTTTTAAGTAAGAAGTGTCTTGGAATATAACCAGAGGCAGAAGCATAGTCCAGAAAAGCTCATCGAACATAATTCTTATTCTTTTCCAAGTTGAACACTATATTGTGATGCAGAACAGCAACGGCATCTAAGGCACTTCGTTTGTATTTGTAAGCAAACTGATACGGATCAATGCGCTCTTTTAATGGAAGTTTATGCGTCATTGGTCTGGTTTTATAAATCGGTGTCCCTAATGAACATTATTATCTCTTCATATATTAACAGGCCACAAGCCATAACAAAATATCTTTATATTTACAAAACAGTGCACAGTTTCAAATTCATTAAACGGCACGATATTTTCTGTAAAGTTATATAATCTTTTGAGCTTACAAATCCTAAACTAACATTTCACAGAGAAGGAATGTTTAAGTACTACTTCAAGAAAAGAAAAAAAACTAAGTTTGAACGTAGTTAACAATAAATAAAAAAACATTTTATTGATTATCACTGTACTAAGACTTACCATCCAAAATCTTTGCCTAAAACACAATGCCAAACACCACCATCATATTTATCCATATGTTTTTTAACATAAGCTGCAACATCTCTTTCTTCATCATACTGTTCTGTAGCTACAACACATGTGTCTACAACAATTTTCTGTAATGGTGCTTGCATATCAGTAGATTTCATTAGAGCACGACGATTTTCCATCTTGTTGATTTCAGTAAATTCCTAGTTTTTGTCTTCTGATATCTGATTATGAATGCAATATAGAAATTGGATAGTTGCCAATGGCAGTAGTAGTAGTAGTAGTAGTACTAGTACTAGTTCTATTAATCCGTATTATATTGAAATAAATTACTTTAATTTCATACAACAAATAGTTGATGAGTTCACTATTAAAGAAAAGAAAGAAGAAAAAAAAAGAAGAAAAAGCCTTCTCAACAAATTTGTGTGCATCTTATTTTGTTCTTTAAATTTATAGTTACATAAAAATTATATAAAAAAATTTTCATATTATCTCTTCACTTTTATTGAAATTATCCAATCAAAATCAAAATGTGAAATGTGCATCTAATTTACTTCAAATACTCATGTATGTGTTTATCTTGATATGTAGAGGATGTTACATCTACATTTAAAAAAGATACACTAAAATCGATTCTTACATACCATTACACAGTTAAGTAACAACAACAAAAAACAAACAAACAACGAAACATTGATTTATAGATAATAAACATCAAAGTAGAGAACACACAAGAGTTCAAACCTTGTTGACCGAGAGATTGGAATGTTAAATTATCAAAATATAATGATGTTATTCTATGAAATATTATTACTCATTTAATGGTTTTACAATTTAATTGTTAATTTGTACAATTTAGTGAATTCTTTGTCTGTTAAATAGAATCATTGATGAATACATTTCATAACTAATTGATAGGCTATTCTATGGTGGCTTTCATAAATAGATTGACAGATAGAGCAAAGATGGATAGAGGCTAGCAGTGGAATCCAGGATGTGCGTTTCGTCATATTTAGGACTCGTCAGCTGGATGTAACTGCATCTCAGAGTTGATGTTCACTCTGGGAATCGAACCCAGTGAACATCAACTCTGAATGGATAACTCGATGGTGTTTGAAGTGAAAGGTACTGGGTTCGAGTCCCAGAGTGAACATCAACTCTGAGATGCAGTTACATCCAGCTGACGAGTCCCGAATAGGACGAAACGCACGTCCTGGATTCCACTGCTAGCTACCATCCATCTTTGCTTATAAGGCTCGTGAATTAAGGCTATATCGAGGGGATACGCAAAGTATGCACATATGCCAATTAGAGACTGACCAATTGCAGTCCTAAATATCAATGAGAAAATTTAAACAAGAAGTACTAAGATAAGACTTTTGTTATCGTAATTTACTATTCTTACTACTATCAGTACACCTGTATTCCCACTATCAACTTGTACTTTTAACTATTAATATGCTTGGTAACGTATTCTATTTCATTGTGATTATTATTGACTCAAATAGCCTTGATTGGTCTAACATTTTCATATAAATATTCATGTATATTAGAGTAAAGCCTGATGACGATTTAATTGAAAACAATTGTTCGCTTACATATGTTGTTCTAATACTAAAATTGACAGATATTTTGAATTAACCAACATCATGATGATAGCATTCTAATGTTCAATAAGTTTTCATTTTTATTAGTAAGACAACGGTAGATTGACGTTATGAAAATATTGAATAATTATGCGATAGTAGTATTGTGTTGTGGGTTACTTATATCCACATAAGTAATATATAACGACGGTCAGGCACAGAATGTATTTCAGTAGAGGATCGATAATCATAGACGGGGAACGAAACCCAATTGGTATGAAAATGAATGAGACGATGAACTGATAGTTGCAGAAGGAACGTTGAAAATTGAGACAATTGATTGATAGCTTGCAAATTAACTATTTACTATATGGTTCTCATATTTTAGTGAGATATTCTGTAATTTTGTGCCTCAATGCATTCAATTGTCCTCACTTGTTTTCTTGTTCACTACAGTATCATTGTTTATAAGATTCTTGTCTTTATTACTACTTTAACGGAAGTTGTAGTGATATATTTGTCAGTAGTCAGCATTGCACATCGAATAGGCTAGCTAATTCATCTTCAGGTTTCTCCATTTATATGAGATTTGTAACACTAACTGTAAACTTAGCAAGACAATCAGGATTAGTTAATCGGATTGTAGACAAAAAAAGCTTGTCAAGAAAGTAAAATGAGTAGGTAAATATCAGTCAAGTTTTTTTAAAAAGTCAGCCTTTTCTCCGAGAATACTTTCGACAGTTAAACAAGATCTATTCAAACAATTGTGAAAAATCAGATTAGTATCGGCCTCAGATTATTTACATATATTAGCGTATATACCAGAAGGTCCTTAAGACAATATTTCACAAATGAAAGGATTGCAATTATATGCTGTTGACAGGAAGTAGCTAAATTAGCAACCACAATCTTAGGTCTCTGTTAGATGAGTTAACAATTATTCGATTACAAATTTTGATTATTACTGTTATGTGGATTGGGTAATCCCATTGGATAGTTTATTCTTCCATGAAACCAATCAGCATGAATTGTTTAATCACTTTTTCACCATAGTTCTCAATTAAAATATACGTAAATACATTTTAAAATAATAATTGATCATAATTACAGGCTATCTACTTTCTTATATTCCTACCGCATAGTGAGATAAACTAATGTGGATAAAAGTTGCATTTTTTCTCAAAATGTGGGTCTTTAGTCATACCAACTGGCAACGAAAAATCTGTTATACTTTAATTTTTATCTTGCTGAATGATCTTAACCCACTTTGTCCATAGAACTAGAAAGGAAGGCCCAGGACATAGTGGGTTGGAGGATACTAGTCGGCGGCCTATGCTCCATTGGGAGTAACAGGCGTAAGTAAATAAGTGTATGGTCTTAATTTTTTTCTTAAACTTCAGATGGCTCTGTATGAAAGAGTTCATCCGAAGACTATTAAAGTATTGACGTAAAAGTTGTCAATCCAATTTATTTATAAATATCAAACGGACAATTTTGACAGGTTTGTTTATTCTGTAATTAAGGGAAATCCAAAATACTTTTAAATTATTTAAGTCTGATTTTGAAATCACAATAAGGTAAATTTGTTGTTATATAGAAAATTTCAAGAGGGGTTTTAGGGGATATTATAGTAATTTCGATAGTTGAGATGATGAGTTAATTGAAGCTAGACCACCATGGAAAAGCGGGGAGCACTGAACGACCCTTTCATTCTATTGTGTGACTCCTCAGCAGTGCACATCCATTATTCCACCTCGCGAGATTCGAACCCAAGACCTATCAGTTTCGCGCGCGAGCGCTTAACCACTAGACCACTGATTCGGCATCCAACGGTGTTAATTTCTAGCTTCAACCAATCCACGAAATTGAGCGACACATCCACCATTATCTTCAGTGAGTTACTATCTCACAACCGACCTGGTTGAACTCCACTGGTACTAGTACTCCAGGAAATACCTCTTGAAACCAGTCACTAGTGAGCATTAATATCAGAAGGGGTTTTTGTGGATATTATAGTAATTTGATAGTTGAGAGCATGAGTGAATTAAAATTAGACCACCATTAAAATTCTCAAAACTTTCGATTAATGAAGCAACCTGTATGATTCTGTTTTCCTGCAGTGCATATCACAAGGTTGTATGTTGAGGTATTTAAACAATTTATCATGTCATCTTAATTACTTATGAAGATAGGTTAAAACTGACTTCAAATATTTATTGTTTTTTTCAGAAAACAAGAATTTGATTATGTTTATTAGCTTATAAACCAGTATGATATGCATCGTATCAAAAATGTTTCCCTGAATGATATGCTTTCTTCACGGTCTAGTTGGACTAGTCTACTTTGTAATTACAAGACTGACTGAGTCAGAGATACTAATCTTTTTTTCCAAACTAACTAAGTCACTGGAGTCTTATTAAAGGTTCTTGTTCTCGGGACTTACATGGTAAACCTATTTCTTCTGAGCATTCCAATTCTTTTTGTCCTCATGTTTATGGTTTACTTAGAAGTATCATAAAAGAACCAAAAAACTGTCTAGTACTTTCAAGTTTTCAATGGTTCTTCGGTGGTGAATGAATGATATTTAGTTTTCCAGATAAATTCAAAATATCAGAAGGGGTTTTGTGGAGATTTAGTATTTTCATAGTTGAAAGCGTGAGTCAATTGAAGCTAGACCATCATGGAAACTCTGGCGCGATACTGGTAGGTCCTGGGTTCAAATCTCGCGAGTGCGAGATCGTGGATGCGCACTGCTCAGGAGTCCCATAATAGGATGAAACGGCCGTCTATTGCTTCTAGGTTTTCCATGGTTGTCTAGCTTCAATTGACTCACGCTTTCAGCTATGAAAATTCAAAATAAATTGAAGTGAACATTTGGTGCTTTCAACAAGCTTTAAATAAGGTCATGTACTTTTTTGTTTGGCTATAATTAAAAAACCTAATTGAAGAAAGTATTTAGTGAAATACAACTTAGTATTGTTTGTTTGAATCTTCCCATCGATTTGTTAGGACTGCAACTGGTCAGTCTCTAATTGGAACATGTGCATACTGTGCGTATTGCCTCGATATACCTTAATTCACAAGCATGGTTAGCAGAGATGGATAGTGGCTAGCAGTGGAATCCAGGACGTGCGTTTCGTCCTATTTGGGACTCGTCAGCTGGATGTACCTGCATCTCAGAGTTGATGTTCACTCTGGGACTCGAACCCAGTACCTTTCGCTTCCACTGCTAGCCACTATCCATCTCTGCTACCTATTTAGTGAAATGTTTTTTCTTTGTTCCCACAGAAAGTTTTTAGTTAGTTGACCAGAAATATAAATGTTGTTTTAATAAAAGCTTGTTTTAGAAACCATTGGATAAGATTTGTCTGTAGTCTTGTGCCCTATTATCCGTCCCATTGAAATATATACTTCCTACGGTATATCAAGCACACTATATGGATGAAAAAACTGTAGAAGTAGGAATGTTTAGTTTCCGAACAGAATTATAATGCATAAAAATAACAGATATTCATACATCTGTCCTCTGTTACTTAGTTGACGATATGTAAGCTGAGACCTAGTCTAGGGCATAGTCTATTTTCTTAAATAGAAGTCCTTCTAAGTAATGTAAATTTAAGATATCGATGGATTCATCAGTTAATGAACAGAGTGTGAACGGAAGACATACTAGTACTTCCTGGAAGATTATTAGACAGTGAGGGTTTGAGGAAATGTATACTCTGTTTATAAATACTTTAAAAAGTAATAAAATTTGGCACATCTAATTGATAGTAGTCATAATGTAGATAAATCAAAATCATTTCGAGTGATCTATCGCACAACATCATCATTTCCCGACGGAGTTCGTTCCCGTCTTCTCCATATATCAGAAGTCATTGGAATTTGTATATTTCACCCGAATTTATGTGTACAGAAGAAATTTGTAACCCCCTTATCCCTTCCATGGCCAGAAATAACATAACAAATGACATGATTATTTTGAAATTTTATTTTTAATTTTGTTTAATTTTGA